AGTTCATTATAATAATATAATAATTCAATATATAACATAATTATGAAACCCAATTGTATTACATTATTACATAATGCAGTGTAACAAGCTCAAAGAAACATCAGAACATTCAGAGTCATTGAAGATCACCTTCAAAAACACAAACAGTCTCAACTCAATAAAAAGTTAGATCAAATCTTTTTACCAAAGCAGAATCAAAATTACCTTTTTTCCTTCACTTCAGCATCAGACAAGCTTCAGCTCTTCTGTCTGGAGGTCCTGGAAACAGCTGCTCTTATACACAGTCACTGACAGACCTGTCAATAATACACTAGTGACTCTATAATGTTTCAGTGAAATCAAAGCAAAGATGTGATTTTTACTTTATGACTTCAGCATCAGGGATTATTTTCACTGATGACATTTTTTGGAAAAAGGATTTAGCTTGTACTTCCTGTCCTTGTTAATTCATTTCCTGTTTTTGTGTTCTGAGTTGTGATTTTTTGAATCCTTTGTGATGTTTCAGTGAAAAGTCCCAGGATACATATTAATCTGACGAAATTAGGATTTTATTCCTAACAAGCCCAAGTTACAAATAGATCCATACAAAGCAGGAAGTAACAACAGGAACAAAATGTTATTTTTCAACTTTCTTGACAAAGTTAAAAAATGCCACTTTTTCAACTTTGTAGTTTATGAATACAAGCCTGAAAATTCACATCAGTGGCGGAGCCAGAGGGGTGGCCGGGGTGGCACTTGCCTCCCCCAACAGAGCCCTGGCCACCCCTACTGCCACCCCACTGGAAATGGTCATTTTAAAATATAATACTTATGAGATCGGCAAAGATTTGCCAGGAAAACTGTAATTTCCGACTGTCCCTGAAGGCAGCTCGATGCCCGATGCTGTTCATTGGTTAAACTGACATGTGGTTCCTGCTTGATCCAAAACACATCCGTGGCTTTAGAGTTACACCTTCAGGAGTTTTGCAGGTATTTACAACATTTTACCGCTCAGCAGTAACCGCTGTTACCTTCCTAATGAGAGGCGGCACTTTTCATACATTTCTAAAAAGAATAAAAATGGTTGTGCACCGCTGCGTAGTGCCTCGTTTATTATATTAGCCTTGCTAGTGCTGGTAGGTCGTGTTTTAGACAGATTCTTTTAACATAATGTTTTAGTGCAAATGCTGCCCTGTAATGTTTTATATCTCCCAGCTCTTGCTTGAAATTCGCCGATAGAGCCGCAGCGCTGACCACCATCTGTCGGTGGGGATGAATTAGAATCACGGTGCAACATGGATTATAACCGGTTGTTTCTCTTAATGAACTGAACAGAGAGATTTACATATTTTTGCTTGAGGAAAAATATTTAAAGAATATGTGAAACACCATTAAGTTTTATAATGACTGAAATGTAAGTCAGCTATGTCATATGAAAGCTTTGAATTATAACCTCACTACTTATATTAATTAATTTTGAACGAAAGGAAACAGATATTTTTTTTCTTTCGTTCCATGGAACGGTCCATTTGTATATGGACCCCTCTGACCCCTAAAGCCTTGCTCACTCTTTGGCCACCCCTTGAAAAAAAGTCTAGCTCCGCCACTGATTCACATGTCCAAATTTTCCATTCACTTGGCTGCAGAGGGACAAACAATTTTCTCCTCTTTGCATAAATGAACAGGTTGATGTTGCCTCTTGTGTGTCGAGACCAAAAGAATCTAATTCTGTAAATAATCTTGAAAGATCTCTGTAGGATAGCCTGACATGTTTAGCTCTGTTACATTTTAACAAATATGTTAAGATTTAACATATTTGTTGCAACTTAACATCTCTGTCAAAAAGTAACAGAGATGTTAAGATGTAACATATTTGTTACATCTTGACTGAGATGTAACTGAATCACCAACTTTGATTCAGTTGTTGCAATTGACTGCAGCCGTGTGTTGATGTAGAATAATTAAGATTGCCATAAAAACTCTCATCTTATATCAGGCATGTTGTGGGACCACATTGTCTCAGCTGTGCTGTGTTTCCTGTGAGCTCTGAGAAAACAGAACGTTAGCTTTGGTTCCTCTAGGCAGTGGCCTCAGTCTGCATTCCTCCAGTCCTGCAAATGTTAACATGAACAGGGTTATTCTGCGGTTGCATGGAATAAAAATCCTTGTAGTTATTATGTTTAGGTCAATGAAAGAAAATGAGGAAAAGTTAGGAAATGAATAAAATAATAAGCTACAGCTCACATTGATGGTTTCTGGAATAAAGCTGGTCTTTAGATTCGGTTTAAATATTCATGCAAATCCAGATATAAAGTAATGTTATAAAAAATATTCCTCAGAATAAATTAATATCAGATTGATCAATGTAAAAAAGAAAAGTGATTAAATATAAATGTGTAGTATGTCATCTATGAAGGTTTTCATGAGTTTCCTGATATCTGCATATGCAGGTTGTGCTTTAATATGTTGCTGTGGGCTGTAAATGTTTATGACTGCAGAGACGTTTTCAGGTCAAGGTCATGAACTAAGAAGCTCTGAGGATAAAAGCTGTTTGCTTATCATTCAGGTTTATCATATTTCACTGGAGGTCATGCTGAACGGTTGAATTTTAATGGTGACATATATATGATCTACAGAAAAACAATCTGCAGAACATTTACACTTTTTGTTTTTTCTTACTAAAAACTTGTAAAAAGTTAAAAGGTTCCCAAGAAAGAAAGAAAGAAGGTGAATCAGGTCCAGTGTAACTGAGCTGTCAGTCTGTTTGCTCTGAAAACATCTCCACCTTTGAATTTCAGGAAAACTAAATATTGGTTTAATGTGCAGCGTGTGAAGTTATGTTTGTTCTCTTTCACAACCTGCAGTTTGTTGATACAATATTTTTCAAGCTTATGAACTGATAACATTTTTGTCAGTTGCATGTGACAACAGGAAAAAAACCACTATTGTCACCTTTCTTGTCCAAGGAAAACTGTTTATACAGAGAGGCGTAAAGCAGGATTGTCCTCATATTTAACAGAAAGATTTCCGATGTGAATATTGTGTTTCTGGATTCTTGTGTACATTGATACAGTTCTTTGATAAAAATGCTCAAAGTTTGATTACACAGCTGAGCATGAAAAGTCAAAAACCTAAAATAATTTTGAGGACACATAAATCCAAATCCAACTTCGGCCCCCCACTGGGTTTCTCTGTCGGGAGAAACGTGGAGCTGTGGTGACCTCAGATGGCATCAGAGAGACTAACGCTGCACAAACAGAAAGGGGCGGGTCAAAGGTCACAGACACTCCTCACAGAGAGATAGGAGTGAGGTGTTTAATTAGAGATAGAGTTGTTTTAATAAGGCAAACTTTAGGAAGATGTCAAAATGTGACGACAGTAATCGCTCTGACACGTACTAAAGTTACCATCTGCAAGAATAAAATCTAATTTAAAGGCATGTTAGATGTTTTTTTAAACATGTAAATTTAAGCAGTACAGATTATGTAACTGTATTCAATGAAACAGAAACTCTAAGAAAATGGAAGGGAGAAAAATGTGTTGCTTTAATACACACACACACACACACACACACACACACACTTTTTTTATCATTGCTAAAGATTTTATTTGGAAAGTTGTCAGAAGGGACAGGTTGCTTTCTCCTGCATTACAAGCAGCAGGTGTCTGTGCCTTTGGTCAGTTTTTGTTATATTAAAGCAACAGAGCAGAAACATTTTAGGAAATGTAGGAAATGAGAGGCTGGTGTCCATGCTAACTTGTATGGACACCATGCAAGTTCATCTAGTAGAGGAGGATTGCACAGACAGACGGGAGCTCAGCGTCACATTTGGTGGCATCCAGGCATCCAGAGCCATGATCTGCAAACAGGACAAACACAATATTCAGTTCTGTGATCCACAGTACAAACCACTTATATGCATATTTTGTTAATGAGAATATGTATGAGTTCAAAGTGAAATGAAAAAAGTTTAAGTTTGATTTCCCACCAAAGAGATCTGCAGACAGTCGTTCTCATGGTGTGAACTTTGCTCATTGCAAAACTTAGCAAAGGCAGGGAAAGAGGGATCGACCTACAGGACAAAAATCAAACCAACTCAACTTCAGATTGAAGACAAAACCTGGTTTTGAACTGTGTAAGGATGATTTATCTACCTGGGATGTTCTGCTGCCTCCAACCCACACTTGTCCGCCATGATGCCCAGCTCTTTCCATCTCATTGTAAATCTCATCAGCTTGAATGTCACTAGACACAGCAGCAAGTGAACCGTCACCTTTGGATGCACAGTTTTTCTAAAGACAAGACAGAAATTACACACAGTTGAAAACCAAATGGAGAACAATATCACTGTTGTGTCTAAACTTGCTATAGAATCAGCAGGTGAGTCTTCAGTGAGTGGCAGGACAGAAATGTTCAGCCCGGGAAACGGCCCATATTCCTTTAAAGCTCTATCAAGTCCAAATGACCCAAATGCTAAATAATCAAAAGTTGCTTTGCATTGGGACTGTGAACTGTAAAAACACAAAGGTGCTAAACTATGAACATGAATTTAGCAGCATGAATAGAGAAGCTTGAACAGTTAATTGGAGCCAATATTCAATTAATAATATAATATTTTTTACCATTTTGATGTGAAATGTCTTTTTCTCGGTTACCTTTGCCTCATTCCAGGTCAGATTCTGGGGAACAAAGAGGAGGCACTGCGTGCTGTGCATCGACCATCCATCAGGGCAAGAGAAGTCCCAGTGAGAGTCTCCATCTTTAAATAGTTACAGGTATATTAGATTTATTAATGCTGACAAGTTAGAGAATATGATTCTGAATACGTTAAAAATGGGGGGAAACTGACCAGTTCCTTCCATCCAGTCATGACGTAATCTAAAGAAAAACACTTTATTTATATTCACATTTACAATTTAAAGTTTTATAAATGTATTTTATGATTATATTCATCTTCTTTCTTTGTCAAAATGACATGATGCAAACAGAATATGTAAATAAAACTAATAATAAAAAAGACTTACCTTGGGTTGGTGGATGATGAGGATAGAAATCATCGAATGGAGCGTCTGCAGACAGAGCATCGTTCAGAAGAGTCTTCAATTAAATAACTTTACTTTTACATTCATGTTATATTTCAAAGACAATATAACATTGTCTATCAAATGCTATATTTAATTCACTCCTGATTCTTTAAGCAATCAAAACAACTTTATGAAAAGTGAGGTTTACACACACAGTATCGATTCTACAGAGCTTGCTGTGAAACATCGTCATGTTTCCCTTATTGACAGGAAACACAAAGAATAGTTGATGAAAGAAAAAACTGAAGAACATTTACCTCCTGTTGGACCAGCATCATCGTCTGTGACTGGAATGGCTGCCGACAGGTTGAAATATATGAATAAATGAAAATAATCATAAATCAAAAATGCAAATATTGTTTAAATCAGTAAATTTTATGAGACTTTTCAACTTTATTTTCCACAATTATACATGAATCCAGAGACACTTTTCATGCCATTTCTTTTCAAAACATGTTTTTGTTCCTAAGTAATGGGGCTCTCTTATGTTGCACCTGTTTTAAAATTTTATTTAATCCAGTTCATTTAGAACAAATTATATTGTTCAGGTTTAGGAAACTGCAGGTTTACAAACAGTCAAAAACAGTTTTGTGAGACACAAAATGAGGTTTGCACACAAACGGGCTCCATGCACAAGAGCTGGCAGCAGACAGAGCTTATTGTGAAATTTTAACCCAGGATAGATAACTAAGGTCAAGTGAAGGTCATGGCAATAAAATGCAGAGACGCAGACACAAAACAAATGCAAAATAAATAAAGATTTTCCAGAACTGCAGCTGCAAAGATGCTGATAGCCGACCAGGCTCTCTGTAATTGCAACCATTTTATTCTCAAAAGAAAATGTAATTAATGTTTTTAGGTTTTCTACAGAGTAGTTACTCTATATTTCAAAAAATAAAAGAAACAAAATACCAGCACATACTGCTGCAGTAAATACTCACCGACTGCCTGGACTAAAGTCAACACGGTGAATCCAAACCAAGACAAACTCAGGATCTTCATGATGGAGACGACTGGGATGCAACCTGCGCTGATAAATTTATTTTCTACAGACAGAAAACTAATGCATAATGAATTGCAACACAAACATCATGTGAAAATGACAAGACAACCATCATCATCATCAAAGTTGTGTTGAAGAATTACCTTCTCGTCTCTATGTGGTGAGTTTCAGCCTGCAGCTTCAGTGTTGTTCTGAACAGACTGACGCCTCCCGGCCCTAATAAGCGAACAGGATCAGACACCCAGACTCAAACAACAAACACTTCTTGTTTCCAGGAATCAGAGCACCGAACAAACAACACCCTTCATAAATATCAAGTTGCATTCATATATTTACTCAGCACACAACATGAGGTCAGAGGTCAGATAAAACAAACTGTGAGGTCAAAAATGTCAAATAAAAGGGCACAGTTCAATCCCACATAGCAAATATTTAATCTTATCAACATGTTTTGGTGGATTTTGAGTAATATGTCTGAAATTGAGCCAGAGTGGCAACTTGGTAGAGAATCTGTGGAGGGAGATGAAGATTAGGGTGATGGAACAGAGGCCTTCCAACCTCTGAGCTCATTTATCAAATGATCTTCTGCTCTGTCACTAGTCTGCACTTCAACCCGTGCACCACCAGATGTCGCTGTTGGACCCGGACTCGACGTGTCTAATGTCTAAAAAGGTTTAGTCAGATTACGGCCAATATGCGTTAAATATATCAATCTAATTAAATAAAACAAATTCAAAACAATATAAGGATGAACTCTCTTGTCATGGTTCCTAAATAAATATTTAATGTAAATAAATATGACATTAAATATTTATTTCTTAGATATTTTTCATCTCAGAAAAATAGCTTCTGGTATTTATTCTTTATTTTGTTTTTATATATTTTATGCTCTTATTTTGCTTTGACTGACTGATTTCTTTGCTGCTCGATGTGGGGCAATATTTCTAAATCCTCTGATCAATAATCCAGTTTTTTCATTCAGAAATTTTTATAATGGTTGTTTTATTGAGAGCTATTTCATTCAAAATTGAGTAAATAAATACTGTTATTAACTATTAATAAATGATACATCAAATAAATAAATTTACCCATGAAATAAAACAGAGTAATTGTAAAAGTATTGATTTGTTCATTGTTTTATTATTTCACGATAATGTTTTGCCTTGTGACACTTATATTTTTTAAACATCTTTAATACATTTTATTTAGATTTTTATTCATGTTCTGTCAGGTCAAATTTCAGCAATCTGAAAATATGGTTTTTTTTATTAATTATTGAAACGACTGTGAAAATGTTTGTTTCAAATATGACATTTGTTTTTAATCTAAGGAATGAGAGAAAACTGTAAAAAAAAATGATGCAAATATGAGCAAAAATAATTCCAGCTGCCTCCTTTATTTAAATAAAATTATGATCTGACCCAAAACTTTAATACTCACCAATTTCCACATGGTGGCGCCAGTAAAACCATATTTTTCTGACACAATAATGAGTTTCAGGAACTGATAGATAAGTGTAAAAGATTATGTTTTTAATAATATTTCTCAAAGTTTGATGTAAAAACAGAGAATCTGAGAGGATTTCCTGTCTGTGGATGTGAGACTTTAATCAGGAAACTAAAGAAGGTCTTCACTTGAGAAATGTTGAAATCAGGTGGTGTTACTTTCACAAATTGGGGAAAAAAAAGAGATAATTCCTAATTTAACAGTGAAAGTTAAGGTCAGAGGTAAGTGGACCAGTTAGGTCCAGTTAGGTTGGTAAAAACTTTTTCGACAGCTGAATGTAATGCACGGGCCGCCGCACGCCATCCGCAGCCCCCTCGTCAGAGGAGGTGAAAACAGATGCACTGAATATGACCACAAACAATGAAGAAAGGGATGAAAGACAGAAAGAACAAAACAAAGAATGAAAGAAAGAACATTTTAACAGATATGTTAAGATTTAACATCTTTGTTGCAACTTAACATCTCTGTCAAAAAGTAACAGAGATGTTAAGATGTAACATCTTTGTTACATCTTGACTGAGATGTAATTGAATCACAACTTTGATTCAGTTGTTGCAATTGACTGCAGCCGTGTGTTGATGTAGAATAATTAAGATTGCCATAAAAACTCTCATCTTATATCAGGCATGTTGTGGGACCACATTGTCTCAGCTGTGCTGTGTTTCCTGTGAGCTCTGAGAAAACAGAACGTTAGCTTTGGTTCCTCTAGCAGTGGCCTCAGTCTGCATTCCTCCAGTCCTGCAAATGTTAACATGAACAGGGTTATTCTGCGGTGCATGGAATAAAAATCCTTGTAGTTATTATGTTTAGGTCAATGAAAGAAAATGAGAAAAAGTTAGGAAATGAATAAAATAATAAGCTACAGCTCACATTGATGGTTTCTGGATAAAGCTGGTCTTTAGATTCGGTTTAAATATTCATGCAAAATCCAGATAAAAAGTAATGTATAAAAAATATTCCTCAGAATAAATCATATCAGATTGATCATGTAAAAAAGAAAAGTGATTAAATATAAATGTGTAGTATGTCATCTATGAAGGTTTTCATGAGTTTCCTCATCTTATATCTGCATATGCAGGTTGTGCTTTAATATGTTGCTGTGGCTGTAAATGTTTATGACTGCAGAGACGTTTTCCAGGTCAAGGTCATGAACTAAGAAGCTCTGAGGATAAAAGCTGTTTGCTTATCATTCAGGTTTATCATATTCACTGGAGGTCATGCTGACGGTTGAATTTTAATGGTGCCATATATATGATCTACAAAAAACAATCTGCAGAACATTTACACTTTTTGTTTTTTCTTACTAAAAACTTGTAAAAAGTTAAAAGGTTCCCAAGAAAGAAAGAAAGAAGGTGAATCAGGTCCAGTGTAACTGAGCTGTCAGTCTGTTTGCTCTGAAAACATCTCCACCTTTGAATTTCATGAAAACTAAATATTGGTTTAATGTGCAGCGTGTGAATTATGTTTGTTCTCTTTCACAACCTGCAGTTTGTTGATACAATATTTTTAAAAGCTTATGAACTGATAACATTTTTGTCAGTTGCATGTGACAACAGGAAAAAAACCACTATTGTCACCTTTTCTTGTCCAAGGAAAACTGTTTATACAGAGAGGCGTAAAGCAGGATTGTCCTCATATTTAACAGAAAGATTTCCGATGTGAATATTGTGTTTCTGGATTCTTGTGTACATTGATACAGTTCTTTGATAAAAATGCTCAAAGTTTGATTACACAGCTGAGCATGAAAAGTCAAAAACCTAAATAATTTTGAGGACACATAAATCCAAATCCAACTTTGGCCCCCCCTGGGTTTCTCTGTCGGGAGAAACGTGGAGCTGTGGTGACCTCAGATGGCATCAGAGAGACTAACGCTGCACAAACAGAAAGGGGCGGGTCAAAGGTCACAGACACTCCTCACAGAGAGATAGGAGTGAGGTGTTTAATTAGAGATAGAGTTGTTTTAATAAGGCAAACTTTAGGAAGATGTCAAAATGTGACGACAGTAATCGCTCTGACACGTACTAAAGTTACCATCTGCAAGAATAAAATCTAATTTAAAGGCATGTTAGATGTTTTTTAAACATGTAAATTTAAGCAGTACAGATTATGTAACTGTATTCAATGAAACAGAAACTCTAAGAAAATGGAAGGGAGAAAAATGTGTTGCTTTAATATACACACACACACACACACACTTTTTTTTATCATTGCTAAAGATTTTATTTGGAAAGTTGTCAGAAGGGACAGGTTGCTTTCTCCTGCATTACAAGCAGCAGGTGTCTGTGCCTTTGGTCAGTTTTTGTTATATTAAAGCAACAGAGCAGAAACATTTTAGGAAATGTAGGAAATGAGAGGCTGGTGTCCATGCTAACTTGTATGGACACCATGCAAGTTCATCTAGTAGAGGAGGATTGCACAGACAGACGGGAGCTCAGCGTCACATTTGGTGGCATCCAGAGCCATGATCTGCAAACAGGACAAACACAATATTCAGTTCTGTGATCCACAGTACAAACCACTTTTCTGCATATTTGGTTAATGAGAATATGTGTTAGTTCAATGTGAAATGAATAAAATAATAAGTCAAAAACTGAAGAACATTTACCTCCTGTTGGACCAGCATCATCGTCTGTGACTGGAATGGCTGCCGACAGGTTGAAAATATATGAATAAATGAAAATAATCATAAATCAAAAATGCAAATATTGTTTAAATCAGTAAATTTTATGAGACTTTTCAACTTTATTTTCCACAATTATACATGAATCCAGAGACACTTTTCATGCCATTTCTTTTCAAAACATGTTTTTGTTCCTAAGTAATGGGGCTCTCTTATGTTGCACCTGTTTTAAAATTTCTATTTAATCCAATTCATTTAGAACAAATTATATTGTTCAGGTTTAGGAAACTGCAGGTTTACAAACAGTCAAAAACAGTTTCGTGAGACACAAAATGAGGTTTGCACACAAACGGGCTCCATGCACAAGAGCTGGCAGCAGACAGAGCTTATTGTGAAATTTTAACCCAGGATAGATAACTAAGGTCAAGTGAAGGTCATGGCAATAAAATGCAGAGACGCAGGCACAAAACAAGTGCAAAATAAATAAAGATTTTCCAGAACTGCAGCTGCAAAGATATCTGATAGCCGACCAGGCTCTCTGTAATTGCAACCATTTTATTCTCAAAAGAAAATGTAATTAATGTTTTTAGGTTTTCTACAGAGTAGTTACTCTATATTTCAAAGAAATAAAAGAAACAAAATACCAGCACATACTGCTGCAGTAAATACTCACCGACTGCCTGGACTAAAGTCAATGTGATGTTATGTCAGTTGACATTCTACAAGTTATAAGATTTAAGCGTTCAATGTCGCCATCTAGTGGTGAAATTTATGTACATCACTTTAAGAGTCGAGCGTTAATGATGTCATTAGAAAGCAGACAGGTCAGAACAACGCAACGCATGGGTTTTCGCAGTAACACGGCTACTGTTATACAATTGGTCCTAGAAAGCACTGTCGGTACGTATAAGATTTATGTTAATATTTGTTGTGGCGACCGAGTGTACTTGTGAGTGCTGTATTGGCCGCTGCTGTGTATTATTCAAAGTTTGTATATTTATTTCATAGTTTTACACCTACTCCAACTAGCTTCATTAAAGACTCAACGCAAGCGCTCCAGTCTGTGTGATTCCTTTGGAGAGGAGTTTAGCTGAGTGTCGACTCCGGCAAGGCGTTGGAGGTTGAGGACATGACGGTCAACACGGTGAATCCAAACCAAGACAAACTCAGAATCTTCATGATGGAGACGACTGGGATGCAACCTGCGCTGATAAATTTATTTTCTACAGACAGAAAACTAATGCATAATGAATTGCAACACAAACATCATGTGAAAATGACAAGACAACCATCATCATCATCAAAGTTGTGTTGAAGAATTACCTTCGTCTCTGTGTGGTGAGTTTCTACGGAAGAGGATTAGGGTCACTGGAAAAAAAAAAAAAAATGTCCGAATTTTTTTTTTTTCAGTGGTTCAGAAAAGGTTAAAAAAGAAGAAAAAATTTTTGTGGCCCAGAAAAAAAAAAATTGTGCCGCAGAAAAAAAAAAATCAGTGAGAGAAAAAAACAAAAAAATTGTGGGCCAGAAAAAAAAAAAATCAGTGACAGAAAAATAAAAAAAATTGTGGGCCAGAAAAAAAAAAAAAAAAAAATTGTGGGCCAGAAAAAACAAACAATAACAAAAAAAAAGTCAGAATTCGGACTGATGGGCGCCAGCAGCAGCCACACAGACGCAGGTTGAGTTACGCCGGACAGCCAATGTTCTGGAGAAAATGTCTGATTTAAGCGACTTTTTACGTGCCAGAAGAGTACCAGAAGCGTCCATTGCACTAATGGAAGAACAAAAGGTGAGAAATCAAATGGGATAGTTCAGTGTCTAAAGCCGAACGGTTATAGCTAGCTGTTAGCATGTTTGTTAGCATACGCGGTTAAAGGAATAAGCTGATTTACAATGTTAGATCACACGGATGAATATAGGATATAACAGCTGTTAATTGCTGGAATTGTCTATAAAGTGTTTGGTATGTTTATTTTATTGTTCTTCTGTTTAAATGTTTTACAATTAAACTAAGGTTAGCTGTATATGTCAGCCACCTAAATAAGATGTCTGCTGTGTTAAACTGCAACTTTTAGTTCAGTAGAGGACAGAAACTATAGTACAAAGTGACAAACGTTTATATATGCATACATTTAAAAGGAAAATATCATACAACTACCGATATATTTACCAACAAATAATGCGCCTATCTGTGCTATTTTATTTATGTATATATGTTTGTGTTACGACGTTGGAAAAAGTGACATTATGAGATTCACTAAATCATTTGTCATGTGTCAGCTCAGGACTGAAATTGCATGTCAATCCCTGAACTAAACTATCAGCACATATATCGCTTGGGTGCAGAAACGATAGGCTTCATTTGACTAAATCAAAGTTAATGTGATATTTAACTTTTGTAATAAAAGAAGTTGTTAATATTTCCTTGTGTTTTTTATGCCTGATACTTTTTATCTTAAGTAGACTGTATATTTATGAATCTGTGTTTATATGAGCATATAAACACAGCTAATCAATCCAGTCCTTCCTCTTTTTCAGTAAAATAGAGGACTGAACATTTACTGCTGCTATTATTGTAATTCTCCCCAAACAATAAATGGCTTTAAGCAGGAAAGTAAGGATACAATCTTAAAGGTAACTTTGACGTTGATTTGCAGACTAAGTAATTGTTCTTTCTCATCTTTTTCTGTGCAGATTGACTGTGATGCCGCAGCAAAGCTGAAAAATCACGGCGATGGATTTGCTGTTTTAAACTTCTACTAAATCAACAAACTGTCCAAGAGGAAAAAAGGCCTTCTGTTTAAGACTGTTCCCTTCTTAAAGTGAAAGAAGCTCGAAAATGTCAGATTTGGATGATATCATTAGGCTTTACTTCAGACTCTCTTTAAATAACAAAGAAATCCTTCAAATTTTAGCGCACAGTCATCATACTATATTAAGTAATCGTACTCTAAACAGAATTTGCAGAAGACTTGGGCTGTTTCGAAGAAAGAATTAGTCCGACCTTGAAGAAGTGCTAGCCTTTGTCCAACAACAAATAAGACTAATGGACAAATGCAAGGTTATCAGTGGCTACATCTTCGTGCGATTCAACATGGATTTGTGGTGTCACAAGACACTGTGAGACAATTAATCAAATTGTTTGACCCAGAAGGTGTGGAACTGAGACGAGCACGACGGTTGAGAAGACGTCAGTACAATTGCAGAGGACCAAATGCGCTCTGGCATATGGATGGCTACGATAAACTAAAACCTTATGGCATTGCTATCAGTGGCTGTATAGATGGTTTTAGCCGACATGTTTTATGGATGGAGGCTTATACCACGAACAATGACCCAAAACTGATTGCAAGTTATTTTTTGAAAACCGTTTCATGTGTCAAAGGATGTCCTGAGAGGATACGTGCCGACAGAGGCACAGAAAACATTTGTGTTGAACAAATGCAGATATTTCTGAGGCGAAACCACACAGACAGTTTTGCAGGGGACAAAAGTTTCCTTTACAGAAGAAGTACATCCAACCAGCGCATTGAAGGATGGTGGTCCACCCTCCGTAAACAGAGCGCACAGTTTTGGATGAACTTATTTCAAACCTTTTGGATGATGGTCACTTCACAGGAGATTTTTTGGATAAAAGCCTTATCCAATTCTGCTTTCTTAATCTTATTCAGGTAAAAGTGTATACTGGTACACTGCAATGTTTTTTTTTTCAAAAAAGGTATTAAAAGCATATCTTCTGGTATGTTTACTAAAAATAAAATGGTTTAAATTACTTGGGAATGTGTTCTCCTAAAACTCCTTTGGTGTAGTTTTAAAAATAAGTTTATCCATAAATTACTAAGTTTTACCATATGTTGGGGAATCATTTTATGTGCAGAATAAAATGTTTTGGAATTGCAATTTTGTTCTTGCTGCTTGGTTTTGATTAGAGGTCACTTTCTATGTATGCTGATTAATATGCCTCATCATTAGCAAAAGCTACAGTTACATTTTTAGTTTTAAACATTTATGGTTTGTTTTTATGCAGGATGACCTTGATGATGTTGTGAACACATGGAACTCACAAAATCCGGGCAAGTGGGGGTGCAGTATCGGGCCGACCTGTGGTGATGTACTCAATTCCAGAGCTGCACAGGGGCTCTGATGGAGGATTTTTCCAGTGGCCCTAATCCTCTTCCGTAGAGTTTCAGCCTGCAGCTTCAGTGTTGTTCTGAACAGACTGACGCCTCCCGGCCCTAATAAGCGAACAGGATCAGACACCCAGACTCAAACAACAAACACTTCTTGTTTCCAGGAATCAGAGCACCGAACAAACAACACCCTTCATAAATATCAAGTTGCATTCATATATTTACTCAGCACACAACATGAGGTCAGAGGTCAGATAAAACAAACTGTGAGCTCAAAAAATGTCAAATAAAAGGGCACAGTTCAATCCCACATAGCAAATATTTAATCTTATCAACATGTTTTGGTGGATTTTGAGTAATATGTCTGAAATTGAGCCAGAGTGGCAACTTGGTAGAGAATCTGTGGAGGGAGATGAAGATTAGGGGTGATGGAACAGAGGCCTTCCAACCTCTGAGCTCATTTATCAAATGATCTTCTGCTCTGTCACTAGTCTGCACTTCAACCCGTGCACCACCAGGTGTCGCTGTTGGACCCGGACGCGACGTGTCTAATGTCTAAAAGGTTTAGTCAGATTACGGCCAATATGCGTTAAATATATCAATCTAATTAAATAAAACAAATTCAAACAATATAAGGATGAACTCTCTTGTCATGGTTCCTAAATTAAATATTTAATGTAAATAAATATGACATTAAATATTTATTTCTTAGATATTTTTCATCTCAGAAAAATAGCTTCTGGTATTTTATTCTTTATTTTGTTTTTATATATTTTATGCTCTTATTTTGCTTTGACTGACTGATTTCTTTGCTGCTCGATGTGGGGCAATATTTCTAAATCCTCTGATCAATAATCTAGTTTTTTCATTCAGAAATTTTATAATGGTTGTTTTATTGAGAGCTATTTCATTCAAAATTGAGTAAATAAATACTGTTATTAACTATTAATAAATGATACATCAAATAAATAAATTTACCCATGAAATAAAAACAGAATAATTGTAAAAGTATTGATTTGTTCATTTTTTTTTTTTTTCACGATAATGTTTTGCCTTGTGACACTTATATTTTTTTAAAAATCTTTAATACATTTTATTTAGATTTTATTCATGTTCTGTCAGGTCAAAATTCAGCGATCAGAAAATATGTTTTTTTTTATTAATTATTGAAACGACTGTGAAAATGTTTGTTTCAAATATATGAACATTTGTTTTTAATCTAAGGAATGAGAGAAAACTGTAAAAAAAATGATGCAAATATGAGCAAAAATAATTCCAGCTGCCTCCTTTATTTAAATAAAATTATGATCTGACCCAAAACTTTAATACTCACCAATTTCCACATGGTGGCGCCAGTAAACCTTTGAATTTCAGGAAAACTAAATATTGGTTTAATGTGCAGCGTGTGAAGTTATGTTTGTTCTCTTTCACAACCTGCAGTTTGTTGATACAATATTTTTCAAGCTTATGAACTGATAACATTTTTGTCAGTTGCATGTGACAACAGGAAAAAAAAACCCCACTATTGTCACCTTTTCTTGTCCAAGGAAAACTGTTTATACAGAGAGGCGTAAAGCAGGATTGTCCTCATATTTAACAGAAAGATTTCCGATGTGAATATTGTGTTTCTGGATTCTTGTGTACATTGATACAGTTCTTTGATAAAAATGCTCAAAGTTTGATTACACAGCTGAGCATGAAAAGTCAAAAACCTAAAATAATTTTGAGGACACATAAATCCAAATCCAACTTCGGCCCCCCACTGGGTTTTCTGTCGGGAGAAACGTGGAGCTGTGGTGACCTCAGATGGCATCAGAGAGACTAACGCTGCACAAACAGAAAGGGGCGGGTCAAAGGTCACAGACACTCCTCACAGAGAGATAGGAGTGAGGTGTTTAATTAGATAGAGTTGTTTTAATAAGGCAAACTTTAGGAAGATGTCAAAATGTGACGACAGTAAACGCTCTGACACGTACTAAAGTTACCATCTGCAAGAATAAAATCTAATTTAAAGGCATGTTAGATGTTTTTTAAACATGTAAATTTAAGCAGTACAGATTATGTAACTGTATTCAATGAAACAGAAACTCTAAAAAAATGGAAGGGAGAAAATGTGTTGCTTTAATACACACACACACACACACACACACACACATTTCTTTTTTTAATCATTGCTAAAGATTTT